CTTTCAAACAAATAAATAGTAGTTGATGAGTGTTTTAGCTCGGATCCCTATGGATGGGACCTTTGATCAAGTTGCGCCCCCCCATGAAATAAGCTTTCGGCTGACTGGTTTTAAGGAAGGGTTTAGCTTTGACCTTAAGAGTGCCACTGATAGATGGCCGCTCCCGGTTCTAAATTCTCTAATGGCGCTGCCCAGTTACCTCTTAAACTCACGCCCAGCCTCTGCGCTCGCACCCGCAACCGCGCTCGTTCCATGATGCCAACTTCTGGATGTTCGAGAAGGTAACAAGAAATCAAGAACTCGAGGTTTGGTTTCCTCGCTTACCTAAAGCAGGAAAAGTGAAAGATGTGCCGAAGATCCGCCTATTGACTAATGAAATTATAGGTGCCTATCCCTCTCTAGCTGTTTGGAAGTCAAAGACTAAGAATTCTCTGAATTCGAAGAACGAACACGGTGGTACCATGGCAGGCGAGGGAGATCCATAAATGAAAGACGAGAGCAAGGCTCTCTCCTCAGAGGTTTTTTCTCGCTACCTGCTTTTACGCTGGGATCGGTACTACCGTGGGCAAGAGAGATGAGACCGAAGGTGTAGTTCTCCACCATAAATAAAAGCAGGAGGAAGACGGGCTATTCCACTCGCAAGAGTTTTCTTCAGCAACCAGTTTTGGGCCGGGTTGGACTTCTCACCTGTAAAGATCTTAATAAGGGGTTTTTTTTCGTTACCAGCGGTTTTTACTGCCAAGAGGAATCGATTCCCACTGTCTTCGTACTCTACACGAAGCTAGCTGACGGAGCGTTGTGAATTCTCCAAGTTCACCAATTCGATAATGACAGAAAGAATGGGAACTTACAGATCCCTACTTCTTTGAAAAGCCAGCTAGAAAATCGTTAGCCGAGCTCCCGGTGCACTGACAAAGAAGCTAAGACCATGGGGCTGAGACTGAACCACTATGTTACGTGCGGAACTCACCCAAAGAGAACAACCGCGGGAGGAAAGCGGTACCAATTTATAGGGTCACCCAACCTACTTCCTGCCGTGGCAAGTACCGGGGGGGGCACCAAACATTCGAAAACATGCACCAGCCCAATCACTTGACCAGGCAAATGGCTAGTCATTAGCCCTGCCAGCTCATCATTGGTACAAAGAACACGAACGAATCTCCCTCAAAAGAAAAGGATAAGAAGTGGAAATAGCAAGTCGAAGGATTGGACTCCTTCTAAACGTTACCAGAGGTAGCTAGCTATCTGAATCGCTACTATCTATGATATTCCACTGCAGCTCTCTCGCACGTCGGTCCACCACATTTGCCTAACCGCTTCCTCGTGGGACGAGTCAATCAACCATGTAGTTCCTTTTCTGTCTTTCGACTAGCCAAAGAGGTCTGAGTCAACTAATCCACCAAGATGAGGAGCTTTCTTTCGCTACCTTGAGCTGCCGCTACTAACAACACGACTACTTTTACCGCTACTTATGATTGCCACTTCCACTTCTCACTAAGGTAACCGGTGCCTCTATCTCCTCACTCTTCATCCGCCTCGACCACTTCCAACAGAGGCTGGAATTCCCTCTATGAAATTGGCATTTCACTCTTCCTATGGTACCCCCCGCCGGCTTGATCAAAGGTCCCATCCTTTCATTAATGAGCCCCTTTTGAGTTCCTATTTCACCTTCAGAAAGAATATCGGGACTTGGCTGAGTTCCTACTTTGAATGATGGGAATTTGCTATTCTCAAAGATAGACTTTCACCCCTTTCTAAGAAGAGCTGTCCTCAGCTCGACTACTCTTCGTCAGAGGCCCTGTCTCGGCTGTTGCCTCTTATTGCAGGTCTTTTGAGTGGGGTGCCATTACTTACCTCAGCTGTCCAGCCGGACTGTTCGTCCTGCCCACTCTAGCTCTGCCTCTAATGCTACTCGTCTTGCTGCTCTACTTGAAGGCTCTCACCTTGGACGTGCTGGTTCGGCGAAGTCGATTTCCAAAACAAGATTCGGAATTCGAAGAAGAAGAAGAAGGCCTGGCTTTCGCTACCTCTGTTACCGCTAGAAGTAAGGTACGTCCATTATGAATCCGAGTGCTAGGCCGATACGGCATGCCTTGGTTGTGGAATGATGTGTGCTGTTGGAAGTGCAATTCAGGATGTTGCAAAATGTAACAACAAAAGGTGTTCAGTTCACACTGGCATCTGTCTTGAAAAAGTCTAGATCGGATTTCTATCCAGCAGGAGGAAGCTCTCTATTTCGATCAAAGACCCATCCCATGCTTGGTAAGTCTACCCGAAAGGAAAAGCTATCCTTCGTTCTTTTACGTCGATTGGCTTAACCCGATTCTCTTTCTATTGGAAATGGAATTGAAGTGAAGGCCCAAGACTTCCACTTCTTCTCTATCTTCCAACAATTACAATTGAATCCTGATTTGTGGTTGGCGAAAAGAGAAAGGCAGACAATTCTGCAAAAGGAAAAAAGCAGGATATTCCAGGAGGGCTTATTCGGTATAGGCTTACTTAGCCTATTGAGGGCTTGTCCTCTCAATCCATACTCTATTCTGGGGGCTTAGTCCTCTCAAACGCCGAGGGCTTGTCCTCTCAATCGCCGAGGGCTTAGAATCCCACCCTGTGGCAAGCTTTATAATTTAGGCTATGGAGAGAGACCCAGCTAGACCTCCCATCTTCCATCCCGAAAAAGATCTAAGATTCAATCGTTGATGCCCGGTATTTTTGCCTATCCGCCGGCTGGCCAATCCAAGCCTAGGCTGGTTTCAAAGTTGACAGGGAATCAGTTCCCTTGGCCTAGGTTCAGTTCACTCGAGATCAGTGCTCAATGCTCTACTCAATCGCCGCTGTTTCCTAGCAGGACTCTCCCCTACAGTATCGTCACCGCAGTAGAGTTTAACCACCAAGTTCGGGATGGATTGGTGTGGTTCCTCTACGCCTAGGACACCAGAATATCGAACCATGAACGAAGAAAGGCATGAGAGAAAAGCATATTGGCTAGTCGTAGCTTGTTTTGACCTGCGCTTTGAATGAAGAAAATCCGACTTGGTCTCCTATCGTCGTTTCGCTTTGGTCGTAGCTACACCTTGTTCGGTAGCTTCGTTATTTTCTACCGCAACAGTACGTTTGACTTGCATGTGTTAAGTATATAGCTAGCGTTCGTTCGAAGCCAGGATCAAACTCTTCTTTTGAGTATGATTGGGCCCTGCAGTGGTAGAACCTGGTGAACCGGGCGTACTAATTTACATTGATTCTCTATCCTGAGCTCTTTATATAAATATAAACCAACTCGATCAAAATCAAAGAAAACAAAAAGCAACTACATCAACAACCCGGGGCCAATTAACCGGCCCATCCTACCTACTAGCGCTAATAAGGTTGAAAGAAAGGATGCGTCGAGCAAGCAGCGCGACCCCCGGTTCTACTTCACTAAGCCCCGTCCTTGTACAAGGAGGAAGCCACTCCCACCAGCTTGAATCACCTTTTTTTAGTAAGCCTTTTTTTTAACACGGACGAAGGAGCTCAACAAAGGTGACCGGGCTGCTCATGATCAAATTTCGAAAACAAAAAAAAAGACTTCTTCCTTTCTTTCTTCTTTCTCAAAAGACCTTGATGGAATTGAGAGCAAAAGAAAATCAAACCCTACCCCTTCGAATGAATTGAAGAATGAAAAGTGCCGGCCCAAACTAGCTGGGATTTTGGGGGTCACCTCGCAGCCCTTTCCTCCAATCGAGTTGCAGTTGGCCTTGTTTCAGTCAGAATGAGTCCCCCGGACCCTCTCTTTAGTAGGTTTCTTAGTTTTCGCTCTCAAGAACTAGTACGCTCTCTTCTCGAAAGCCGAAGAGCAGCTAAACTAAGCAACTTGTTAAGAGATTAGGCGGCAGTTGAAAGAGCTGCTCGAAAGCCCCGTGTTTTTTAGTATTTTTCTAAAACTAATAAAGGAAAGAAAGAAGTCCGGCCGTTATGGCCAATTAAGCAAACCACGAGTAATTCGTCTACTTTGACTTACCGCACAACACCACTTTCTTCTTTCATATAGAAAAGAGAAAGAAAGGATACGCCAAAGAAAGATAGAGAAGAGAAGAGAAGAGAAGAGAAGAGAAGAGAAGAGAAGAGAAGAGAAGAGAAGAGAAGAGATAGGCTCAGCCGCATCCCATCCATCCACACAACACGATAGCTTAAGCAAAAAGTAGAGAGAGCTAAGCTATCATACAAAAAAAAAACTTTGGATAAGCAAGCGTACCTCCGGCCTACCATACACTAGTCTAAATCAATCTTTTATTTGTGTGTGTTCTTCAATTGGAAGGTGGTTTTGCTCTTAGGTATCTGCCCTGTCCTTTTCTTCAATTTCGGAACGCTCTAAATAAAGTATGCACGAAATTGAAGAAATAAGCGAGAACTTTTCATTTTGGTAACAACAATATAAAGCTAAATATGTTCCCATATTAGGAAATATATATATCTTTTTAAAAAAGCATTGTTTGGGTGGTCCACCAACAGGGACAACCTCCAGCAATTGAAAGAAAGTTGTGAACGGGCAAAATGAGGATGTTTGACACCTCGATTGTCCCGAAGCCCTCTCATGCGAATGAAATCAACTTAGCCAATGTTTTGTCCGGTTTCACTGAAGGAAAAATGAAAAAAAAAAATAGAAAAGATACAAAATCACTAAAAGAAGATGAGCAGAAAAACTTCTTAGATACCATTGACCCCGGTATCTAAGAAGTTCTACCTACCACCTTTTCACACTGTTTAAGGGGCAGCATCTATTGAGAGTGGATTGACGGTGTTGAGAGATTTCCAGCATAAGCAGTAGTTGAACCAGCATAATGAAAAAGCTAGCAAAAGGGCAGGCCCAGAGTCGGATTCAGACAAATAGACAGAATGGCAAGCTTCATTACCATTCGATAAATCCCATCGGTTCCACTCTCCTTAATGCGCAAATGGCTTAAAAAGCTTTCTTCATTCGTCATCCCAAGAAGAAAGAATCTCCTTATTTCCAGCTGTCCGAAGCTTATAAGCAGGAATCGGCCATTCAGGGTACCCCTTTATGAGCAGCAATCCTAGAAGGAAGCAAGACTTACTGTACTGGCTTTCTTTCTTTGTGGAAGGGAAGCTTTACTAAAAAGATGCTTAGTGGGGCAAAGAGATTCGAAGGTTGAGAGATGGACTAGAGTTAACAAAAGGCCGATAAAGATGAACCTTTTTATTTGAGCCTAACTATCTATATATAAGGGGGGGGCACAGATAGATTTAGGAAATGCTTGATCTGACCATAAAATAGGAATAGGTACGGTACTCAAGCGGAAGTGGAGCGAAATGCTTCCCTTGAAAGAAGCACAAGCGAAACGATACCTAGATCCGGCTGGGAAACTACAAACAATGTTGCTTAGGTTACATTGGCAATAAGTACTTCAACCATTTTCTTCTATTTGCCACTAAGTAAGCTTGCCCCATGAGACAATGGACGCTTTTCATTCCTCTTTCGTCCCTTCCTTTTTCTATGGTTACCCGGAATCAGTACCAAGTAAAGTCAATTTCAAGTTAAGCTTTAAGAAAAAGACGTTTCACTTTTGATGGAAAATGAAGACGGATTCTCTCCTTGGCAAAGGGAATCCCCTTTCCCCTTTCTCTAATAATAAGAAAGGGGCAGGTTTCAGTCTTGAAGTTTGTCTTCTTCAATGGATAAGATTCAAAGGGCTTGACTGCACCTTGCTTCTAGGCTTACGGAAAAAGGCGAATCCGAGGGCTCTTTACTAATATAATATCATAGGGGACACTTCCTTGAAGAAAGCCGTGCTCCCATCAGCTTTCAAGTAGATAAAGAAGTTCAGGCTAGTGACATCAGCTATCGGCTATTGGCCTTTGTGAAAGCTTCTCCTCAATATGTTTGATCCCTTTCCAAGCCTTCCTCTTCGTCAATGATTATGGGTCGCTCCTGTCCTGTAGTTCGATACACTACTCTAAGGCCAGTTGCCTATACAGCACAGCATCTTGAGTTTATAGTAAAGTCAGCTTTGGTTATCGCTATACCCTCTCTAGACAAACGATTTGATTCCAGCCGCTCCACTACTGGTACAGTAGCACCCTGCCTTAATAATCGCATAGGCACCCCGGAACCCTACTCAGTAAAAAAGGGGACTCCCTAAACGAGACTGCTAGCTGGTATGGAGGGACTAGCTTTGCTTGCTTCCTAGTCAAGCCCTATCCGTCTGAGTTTCATATGAAAGGTAAAATACTACAATCAAGAAAAAAGAAACTTCCTGCAGATTGCTCGAACCACGTAACCTAATCAATGCGCCTATTCCCCTAAATCAAGACAAAAGGGATTCCACGGCTCAAGGGACTTTTTAGCCCAAAAGGGACCTCGCTCGATCAGAAAAGAAAAGTCAAATTTCAATCAACTGATGAATGCCGTCAATCCAATCCACTTTCAATCAATCGACGACTGCTTCTCTTCCATTCTTAACGTCTTAAAGTGTACCATTCAGAAAAGGTAGGGTTACAGGGCGCTCTAAGGAGGAGATTTGTAAAAAGGATTCCCAATTCATTAAATTAGTAGGGGAAGACCCACCCTTATTAAATAACTTAGCTCGAACGTCCAGAGTCAGATGCTTAATCCATGCCATCCCTTTCAGCCTTAGCGCCGTGTTATCCCATAATCTATCATTCTCCAAAATTCCCCAAAGGGCCCCCTGACAAGTTCAGCAAAACCGTAGAGAGAGCGGGCTACACCTAGCTTAGCCTATCCAATATCCGATTCAAAAAGAGCTTGGATTGCTGCTTTTCCTCTCTCTGTATAAAGTCAGTCAGTCCCAGTGTTGGGCAGAGCCTATTGTCAAAGGATCGTTTCGCTGGAATGCTTGCTTGAATATAGCTACTCCCATTAAAAGGAATTTTGCACTCGGTAGTAAAAGCTACAAACCGAATGAAGAAGTCGGAAGCAGTTCATCGCCTGTGGGAGCTTGCTGATAGTGAGGAAGCCATAATCTATCTATCGGATTGCCTATTTGTCTATCTGTCTGGTGAAGAGAGAATGGAGGATACTCTCAATAGGGCAAGCACCCAATACCTCGTCGAGTCCAAAGCTCCAGCTCAAGCAGTTCAATCCAAAAAAGAGATGTCTGCCCTGCCTTCGTTCTCGCTCAAGCTAAAGCTCAGTCTGCTAGCTCAAGTCGCAAGTCAAGTAGTGGAGATCCAGTGACAGACAGAAAGGAGAGTTAGACTGGAATGCAAGAATGAATCTCAAAAAGGTCTGCTCCCCTTCACACACACTAAAGGCAGGATTGCGACTTTGTAGGTTTCCAATAAAAGAAATACGTAAAAATATTATTTGGTTTACCCGGGCTATACCCCTATGTATTCTACTCGTATCGTAGCATGAGACCCTCTCGGAAGTAGTTGAAGATCTAAATCTGAAATCCCGGGCTAATTGATTCTTCAACTCTATCTGTCAATGGTGAGATTGACACTGAACTCCCAACGGTTGAGGCTAATTCATCAGAATCTGAACCAGGCCAAAACTTGCACTCTCAAGACTTGGCTATAGTCCCTTGCCCTGACCCCCTAGTAGCAGAACCTCCCTTGGTGCCATCGAGAATAATTTGATCTATATTTCCATCTTATTCTAGCCCTAAAGACTATATTGCTCCTATTATGGCTGCTTTCGCCACAGGACCTAGAGGAGCTCCCATTATTATTCCAGCTCAATCTGTTCAGCTCCAAAGCTCCAATGGCCCAATATGGTCTACCTACTTCGTTACAATGGTTCCTGATGAGAACTACCTAGATGCTGCATCAAGGTTGATTGTTAGGGAAGGGATGGGGTAGAAATATAGTTTACGTTTCAACTTGATCAGTTCGCCTTATTATATAAAAAGATGAATGAATAAAGCTTTTCTTCGGAGAGAGAAATCCTGTTCCCGAAGACCACGCTACTTGGCTTGAGCGGTACCTCATAGGGCTACTGCTGGACATTACGGTCGGTGGATCGATCGGCGGGTTCGCGCTTTGGCGAGCGAACGAATAAAGCGCATTTCGAGCAAAATTCTTGTTCTGGTGGAACTCTCTCAACCTAAAAGAGACTTGGTTGGTGCAAATTGAGTTGTCCACCGTTGAAAGGTAAGATCCAAAAAATCTTATTTAGGGCTCGAGCCCCCTTCCTTTTAGGGGTCTTGGAACTGACTCAGGCCATAGACTAGAAGTCTGGTCTCCGATAAGGCTTCTGCTCCCGCTTTGCCTCGGCCCTCTTCTTCCTTGGTCCAAACGAAAGATCTAAGGATGCCTGGTTTTTTGAAGGGTATCCTTTTCCCAGTTTTTCACTTTTTTCTCGATTGCCAAGCCCAAGGTTAGGGAAAGGGAGTACGTCTCGTATATATATAAACTTGTATATAATGGGACCGAAGTCGGCTCAGCCGGAGATCATGCGCCCAACAGAAGAAAAACGTAAGCCTTCTTGTAGAATATATAGGACCGAAAAGGACCTCCATTTTGACCCTTTTTGAACCACTCATGGGACCACGTGAACGTGGGTTATCCTGGTTTATCCTGACGAGACAAGACTCCTGCATCGAATATGGGTGGAGGGTGGAGAAGGATAGAAAGGTAGTTTCCTCCAGCAAGGGAGATGACTTCTTCCTTGCCCTTTGAAGAGCGAATAACAAGCGCTTTGAATCAAGCTCTTAGAGTACTCGTAAAGACCTGAAAACTACGTTTTTCTTTTTTAGAAAGAGATTTCTAGACCTCGCCTCGATGTTGGAGCTAGGGCTGGCCTCTCCGGCCTACGGTGGGGTTAGGATGAGTGGATAAATCAACCAGCAAGCAAGATCTTTCTAGGCTTAAGCATTCAAAGAAATAAGGCGCATTGAGCGAAGTAACCGCGGGTTTTCTCTATCCATATGAAAGGAAGGGCGGGCCTGGGCTTTTCCAACCTGCTTCCGAAGAGCTAGGCAGGGAATTGCTAAGCACGAAGCTAGG